ATATGGCTGTACCGCTTTTTGAAAGAATTGATCATCGACAGCCGCTGTTTGTGAGAAATAGCAGCGCCGGCAATCTCGAGTCTCTGGATCGAGGGAACTGACACACGAGTGGCAGTTCAGCTCATGCTATGCACCAGTCAACTTAGGCTCGTTTGCAAAGGAAGGTGAAACTTACACTACCATAAACCTGATAGAAGAGGGTGGGACCAAAGGCAGCAATGACCGCAAACAACAACATCGTCGAGGTCACACCAGCTGATTTCACATTGAACCGTTGGGTCTTGCGTTTGAGTGCACCAAAGCACATGGACAAACCAGGGAGAAATAAAATGCCGACAAAGATACTGCCGATGATACTTCCCTCGACAAGCTGAGCCTTGCCCTCAGTCAAAGCGACACAGTAGAGATATACTTCTACGATAGTTGAGAAGAAAGCATTGATGGCAGCACCTAAGCCCATAGAAGATTGAGCGGAGATCGAGGCGACGGCTTGTCCAATGAAATAGGCCAGAGGAATAATGGAGAGCAACGCGAGAGGGAAGATCAAGGCCGGATGTGTGAGCCAGTTCTGCAAGCCTAAGAATTTGCCCAAAACATGGTAGTCGAAAATCACAAACACAACCACGCCAAGAAGATTGATCAAAAAGATGTTCGTTCCATCGAGAGTGTACTTCCAGTACCTCGTTCCAGCAGCTCTGTAGGTACAAAGAAGTATGGAAGACGAAGATGTGGTTGTGCTCGATCTAGCATATCTGGAATCGGAATGGAAGGACAGTGCTAGCGGATGTCTGCGCAAATGGCTCACAAGTGTAATCGTTATACGACCCATGGGAATCCAAAACACCAAGAGCCAGCAGACGAGCGATACCATAAGCATCAGCGGACCGACTAGGAAATAGAAGAACACGAAGAACACGACGCGACCCAAGGTCCATTCGCCCCGCCCAAAGAGGCGACGCTTGGATTGAGCGAGCTGAGAAGACTCTTCGCGTTGTCCACGCCGGGGTCGCCCGAGCAGGCTGTCTTGTTCACCGGCTGAATCGACGCTGTTTCTTCGTCTACCGACCAGGGACCGATCTCTGCGAGGGCCGAAGAAAAGACGGCCATGTTCCAGGTCGCCATTCTGCCATTGTTCATATTCGCTGATACTGCGTCCCTCGCCTTCATCTTCCTCGGCATAATTCTCCTCGGTCTCCAGAAGAACATATGATCCGAACGGGTATAACAGATATCGTGAAAGACCTGCAAATACTCTTCCGTATGCCACAGCACTGAATGAGTAGGAAAAAAAAAAGCAAGCAACTGCGGCTAACAGAGCGAAAAGGGCAAGCCACCATCCAAAAAACAAAGACCATAGTAGATTGGTCAAAAAAAGCATGGGACTGACATAGCCTCCTGGAGATGAGTGGATATCACCCTCGGCCGTTTTCTCTACAGAACGGCTTTTCTTGTACAACGCAGGCTTCCAGAGTCTGATACCAAACGGGTGTGTTTGGTTGATGGCCTGTTGACGGTCTTTGAGTGTGAAGCTCTCAGCATCGCTGGCTGCGTCTTCGTCGTCTTCTATTCCACCCTCCTCCTCACCGTCCTCACTCTCCCCTCCGCTGGTATGTCCGGTTTGTTTCAACGAAGGAAACTCTTCTTCGTAATCCAAACCTGCTTCAGGCAAGGCCGTTTCGTCTGCGTTGTAACCCTCCGAATCGGCTCTTGCCAAGGGTCTGGGACGAGCACTGGGACGTCGTCTCAAGGTCGAGCTTTGCGTTCGTAGTGGGCGAATCCTGGGGGATTGTTGCGGGTTCGCGCCTTGCTTCATCGTCATATATTGCTTGACCTCATTGACATCATCATCTATCGAGAACCCTTGCCCCCTGTGGGGGATTGGACGTTTGGAAGACATGCGACGCGATACCGAGGGTTTTCGGGGCTTATCAGGGACAGTAGAAGATTGAGTCGTGAATGCGCGAGTCGAACTCTCGTCTTGGCCGTCATCATGTAGTTCAGGATTGGTCGCCTCGGGGGAGGATGGATCGAGTGTACCTGCAATTTTGGATCAACCCAAGCCGTCATTGTCGTAGGTTACACCAAAGGCAAGCTTACCGTATGTTCTCCGCGCGGAGGCAGAGGATCTGATTGGAGGAACAGCTTCAGAAGTTGGTGTTTCCATTCCCGCCGTCGCAGATGGCTGCGTGGACTCGGGAGAGCCAGGGTTTCCTTTATCGCCAGCCATGACCCAGTGATTTGACAAGCACACAGTAAACCTTGGAAGCACAAGAAACGAGTAAGAGAGATAAATTCAAAAAGACACGGGGTCTCCTCTCTCTTTTATGCTGTCTTTGTTATCCCCAGAGAAAGAGACAGAAAAAAGTCAAAGCGATAAGACCGGAAGTCCCAGTGACATTATTGAACCAAAGAGATCTAGGTGAAACGCAGAAATCGAGAATGTCAATGAAAGCTTCATTAGAGATGCATATAAGTCATTGCAGTATCAGGTAGGACGAAACTCGTGGAAAAGAGTATGCCGAAGGGGAGAAATGGCTCTTTGACCGTTGCCTTCTCTTGCAGATGACCCGGTCATCAGCCCACCTAAGCAGCTCCAAGGCTTGACCGCCCAATAAGATCCATAGCTGACTCATTGGGCGGGGAGCTCCCGAAGTCTCATCCATGGAAACAAAGCAGGATGTTTGACTGGTTTGTCTTAAATAAGTAGCCCGATATTTCAGGCTTAAATTCCTTTTTAATCTCTTAGTCAGCACAACTGAACGGGCACTGGGCCTGAGCTTCGCGTACAGCTGGACTGCTCTGCTCGCCAAACCCCAGCTTCAACTTATCCGTTTCTGTTTCCGAGCTACATCCCCTCCTCTGACGAATTCTCGATACACCATCATCTGAGCAGAAAGATAAAGGCTTTTTTTTCTTTACTGCAACTGTGTTCTGTGGAAGACAGACAGCCCTTGACTCTCCATAGCGTCATCACCCCATTCGCCATCATGGCTTTAGACAACTACTATCGCAATAAAATCGAGGGCATGAAGCTTGAGATTATCCAAGGCCAGGCTGTTCTACGACGATTAGAAGCGCAGCGCAATGACTACAACTCGAGAGTCCGTCTACTGCGCGAAGAGCTTGGCTTGTTGCAACAACCCGGCTCTTACGTTGGCGAGGTGGTGAAGGTGATGAGCACCAAGAAGGTCTTGGTGAAGGTACACCCAGAAGGAAAATACGGTAGGCTTCGTCCATTCTATCTTGGTTTTCAATGACCGGGCTTATGCTAACGGTATGTTTTCCTTTCATCGCAGTGGTGGATATCTCCGATGGTGTGGACATTAGCAAACTCGTTGTGGGCAAGCGGGTTGCTCTACTGTCTGACTCGTACAAGCTGGAGAAGATGTTGCCGTCCTCGGTCGATCCTCTGGTTGCGCTCATGATGGTTGAGAAGGTCCCCGACAGCACTTACGACATGATTGGTGGCCTAGACCAGCAAATCAAGGAAATCAAAGAAGTGATCGAGCTTGGCCTCAAGCACCCCGAGCTCTTCGAATCCCTGGGTATCGCACAGCCGAAGGGTGTCTTGCTCTACGGTCCACCTGGAACCGGCAAGACCCTGCTTGCTCGAGCAGCCGCTCACCATACCGACTGTCGATTCATCCGAGTGAGTGGTTCAGAACTGGTGCAGAAATACATCGGAGAGGGTAGTCGGATGGTACGTGAGCTTTTCGTCATGGCACGAGAGCACGCACCAAGTATCATCTTTATGGATGAGATTGACAGTATTGGATCAAGTCGGATAGATTCATCAGGAGGCGGTGACTCGGAAGTGCAACGTACCATGTTGGAGTTGTTGAATCAGTTGGACGGCTTCGAGCCAACGAAGAACATTAAGATTATCATGGCGACAAATCGACTGGATATTCTCGACCCGGCCCTACTTCGGCCTGGGCGAATTGATCGAAAGATCGAGTTCCCCCCTCCATCGTCAGTTTTTCCCTCCCCTCGCCCCTACTCCGCCCCAGTTATTTATGGCTTGTTCTTTTTCTTTTCTCTTTTTCATTCCTTTCACCTTGAGCACGATGCTAACTCAACTCTTCTATAGGGTCGAAGCCCGTGCCGACATCTTGCGAATCCACTCTCGGTCGATGAACCTGACCCGTGGAATCAACCTGGCCAAGATTGCCGAAAAGATGAACGGGTGCTCTGGAGCTGAGCTCAAGGGTGTCTGCACAGAGGCAGGCATGTATGCACTCCGCGAACGTCGGGTTCATGTCACACAAGAGGACTTCGACTTGGCCACTGCCAAGATTCTGAACAAGCACGATGACAAGGAGGTGGCCGTGTCGAAGCTGTGGAAATAGAGGCCTCTCCAAAGCGGGGGGTGGATCCCGGGGGCCTGGGAAACGATCGACGACATTGTATCACTAGTTCTAATCCTACCCTGATAATTCAGACCCCAAGTGAATGCATAGTTGTGCGACATGTCTGGATCCGACCTATTTCGGGTGATGTGTAAAGGTGTAACTATCCCTTGGCAATCTTTTCGGGGCGACTGCCTGCTTGGCCTCGGTGCATACCCTCCGTCCACATACATGTAGTAGAACAGCCATCTATCTCGTACTGGATATGGGATCGGTCTGATGTGCAAGGAGACCCCGGAAGTAGATATACGTAACGTTGATTGGTTATTTTCCCGACTGGCGAAGGAAAAGGAGGCTTGGCAGCTTCAGTCTATCTAAAATGGCACCTGAAGGCAGTTGCTTACTTTGTACCAGTACGGAGATGTGGTACATCATGCCTCCTTGAGTGAAGGCTTGGCATATTGCTGCGGACCGTGTAGATCAGAGATATCTCAATTGGCCTTGGCGCGGAATTCAGGGATCTCTGACTATTGTCTTGGCAGTTTCAACCCCATCTTCGGTATATGTGGGAATGTCCACACCGAGCGTGGTAGTATACATCGGGTAATATCGACTATTAAAATCATTGGACGCATTTCTCCCCTTGCCGGTTTAGACTGACGCGGAATTGCGCGTGACCAACCGGCGGATCAACGCCTGGGCTAGCGCCAAGGTATTTTCCAACCTGGGAAGGTTGGACTGCTGAGGTAACCCCCCTTGTCCTAGATACCGGATCCACTTAGGTTCACCCCATACTTTGATGAAGTATCCAGGACTACTTCTTGTGAACCCGCCCTTGCGCAGCCAAGACATGATTGTAGGTTAGACTAGTCTGAATAGAGAGAATTCTGGAGTGAGATTGTACCCTTGGATGTTTTATATACATAACTCTGTATTTCTGAATTTGGTTCTGACAAAGTCATTGACCGAGAATCCATTTACGGTTTGGTTCGGGCGTTATCTCTTTACTCAATTGAATTAGAATATAAATCTTGCAACTAACCAGAACTGGTTAGTCCACTAACTAAGATAGGTCAATTATATATTAATATTTCCAAAAAAAGCAATCTTCCTCCTCTCCACGTCTCCACATCTCCACAACTCCATTGGTTCTATACTTCTCCGTACTCTCATGTACTTTGTACTTTGTACTTTGTATTTTTTTTTGGTTTTTCTTTTTTTCTTTTCCCTTTTTCAATATCTGACTCAGGAATGATCAGACAACTCTACGATTGTATTTATCCGAATCCCCTGTTCATTTAAACTATTTCCTTTCCCCCCTTCTTCCCCACCTTTTCTATACTTTCCTAAGCTTGACTTTGAAATTTCCATTCACCTAGCACTATATAATTCAACCGGACTATGTCCGATCTGTGGTATTCTATAGCCTTTGCCATTGACCCTAAGAGAACGGAAGCCATGCCTGCCGTCTTACAGTCAACAATCAATTTGCTGGAAAGTGAGCTGGTCAAAGCCCGCGCTGCCCTCCGGGATATCCAACCCAATGCTTCACCCTTTGGATTCCGGAGTGATGAAGTCGCGGTAGGCGCCATGACTGCCTACAGACGGGATCTCATCGGCCGCGCCCCCGATTTTTACGGATCTCGCCGCTTGACGCTGAAGGAACTCGGCCTGGAGCCCGTCGTGCGCGAACTACCCACCGAACGAGTGGTACCAAGGGTGCAATGTATAACACCCGCACCGCCTCATCGAACAGGACTAGAGGATGCCCTGAGCAATAGCTTAATCCTCGACCACATGGCACCATATCTATCAGTGTCCTCGTTGATGACGTTGTGCTCAACTTCGCGCCGCCTACACACCATGATCACTCAGACACCATATGTATTCCGGCATCTTGATCTGTCCCATTGTCGGGGCGCAGAACTCTCTACAGTAACACAAATGGAGAACGACTCTCAGACGGAGGACGAGATCTACTCCGCTCCAGTGAAGAATATCTTTACGAGCCTTGAGCGCAGAGGTATACTGCAAGATGTGCGCACTCTCATCTTGGACGGGGTGTCAGTGCCGGCTGACCTGGTGGCCGATATCATTCTGACGGATCGCTTTAACGTCAATATCCTGTCTATCCGCGAATGTCGCCATCTCAACGAACGCAAGCTCATGCAGGTCCTTCAGCATGCCGTTCGGCCTACACGTCCTGCCGGTATGCCACGAGTGAAGGGAATCTACCATTTTTCTCCCATGCATACGGGACCTCGGGCAGTGGCACGACCCCGATACCGAGACTGGTGGGGAACCCGTGTGGGAACTTTGCGGACATCCAGCCAAATCCCATCTAACTCCGATCAGGAGGATGAGGTCTCCGCAGAATCCTCGATAGAGCAGCAAAACGAGTGGTATAGCGCATCGGGGAAGCTATTCACGCACACTCCTGAGGAAGGCTGGGCCCAAGTACTTAAGAAATGTGAGGGCATCATTACCTTTGATGCTGCTCTTTGTCGTGGCCCAAGACACGATCTCAATCTATACAGTTCGACCACGGAGGCGGGCACCCCAGCTGCGGTTCCATTGCTCGGACCCGCCGTGGCCACCGTAGCCCTCGGACCCCGTGGGTGTGACGGATGCCACAGTTCCCCCGAAGGTCCGGCTATTTGGAGCCAGTCCCTAGATATTCAATTTCCAATGCTTAGCCCCCCGCCATTGCACTCATCTAGCGTTGCCGTGGCGAAACGACCCGAGCTAATTCCAGGAGAGCATCCGGTTCTCATTGCCCGCTGCACAGACTGCCTCACCAACTGTTGGTGCCACCGGTGCAATAAATGGTTCTGTGAAAACTGTCTACCAAACCCGCAGCGCGTTCGAGTAAGCCTATCCCCGCATCAGACTGCAGTCCACGCCAGTGCCGCTGAGCTGCAAGAACGTGAGGTATGTTGATATTGAATCTTCCCTGTTAACCGTCCATATCACTGATCCTTGTCATGCAGAGATTGGAACGAGGTGTAAGCAAAGACTGCTGGGAATGTGGCCCAACTGTGAGTAACTCCCCGGATCTAGGATGTCACTTTTTTTCTGACCATAATAGTGTGCTTCCTGTAAGCTGGAATGCCAGCACACGTGCCAAGGCTGCCAGGGTGATTATTGCATTCAGCACAATGAAGGATGCTCGAAGATACTGGTACGTAGCAACCGAAGGCCCTATGATTGCATGAGAGCGTATACTAACTTTGTCCCTGCAGTGTGACTGGTGCAATACCAGTGCTCGCGGTCGAATGCGTGGCGACTTCTACTAAATTTGATTCCGCGATTTTTAATATATTGGTAATCGACACGTCGAATTATCGCGTATGTACGGAGTACATTAACCTGATTTTCAAGCGAACTATGAAGCGTGGAGGCTTCCAGAATTGAAACTCTTATCTCTTATCGGCTGTGCAGACCGCAATAGTGACAGATTTTGGCAAAACTTGGCTTTTCTCGGGCAGAATTGTAGATATATATATATACTTGAGGTTGAAGATAAATACAAAGCCTTGAAACCCATAATTTGTATGATTCATTAAAAAAACCTACAGAAGAGAGGTAAGATCTATCTCTATACAGTAGGCGGAGAGAAAAGCGGTGGTCCTAAAGTATTAGAATTGACTTTTGCCACCTTCGCCGCTATTGCGGTCCGTTTCCGCCGCCTTGGAATATTCATATAAAGGATGCATCCCCTCTCTAATGATTGTCAAATTCCATCATGGCCCAAGATACTCTAGCCTGGTCATCCCAGCTACTCGTCGCATCTCCAGAGCGGGCGCCTCGGCTAACTGGCGACAAAATCACTCTACCGCAATCTGCGCTTGAACAGCTACTAGCTGCCGCTCCGCTCCAAGCTGTCCCCTCAGGGAATTCTCGTGTACTTACTTCGTCATTTGACCCTTTTAATCATCATACCCTCGCCGTCGAATCGCGCGCTCGTCAAGCGGCCGAGCAACATCAGCAGCAACTCCCCCACCCGTTAATCTTCCGCATTGTCAATCCTCTGAATGGCCGGTTCATCTATGCGGGCATTCGGGAGTTCTCCGCAGAAGAGAATGAAGTCGCACTGAGTACATTGCTTAGAGACGCACTTGATATCAAGGATGAAGAGTTCTTGAGCGAAAATGGCGAATCACAAGACCTAGCGGTGCAAATAGAAAGGGAACCCTCACCACGGACTGGCCCCGCGGTCACAGTACACGCGAAGCAACTACCCAAGGGCACCTATGTTCGCCTCCGTCCGTTAGAAGCTGGATATGATCCAGAAGACTGGAAGGCTCTTCTGGAAAGATACTTACGGGATAACTTTACAACCCTCACGACGGGCGAGCTTCTGACGGTGCCGGGTACCCGGAGCGAGTCATTCAGATTTTTGGTGGATAAAGTGTTTCCCGAAGGCGAAGGAATATGCGTGGTGGACACGGATCTTGAAGTTGACATCGTCGCATTGTCAGAGGAACAGGCCCGAGAAACACTACAGAAGAGATTGGAAAAGTCCTCACGCGCGCCAGGCACAACTAGTGGCAGTTCGATCGGCGGTATCCTCAGCATTGGGGAAGATGTCACTGCCCAAGTATTGCCTGGGGAATATGTGGATTATGAGCTTCGAGATTGGAATCGCCAGGATACTATCCAGATTGAGCTTACTACGGACAACCCGGAATTGAGTCTTTTCGCTAGTCCCTTTTCTACTCGCCAAAGAAGTCGTCCTAGATCAGATATGCATGTCTTGGGGGACTTCTCGACCCAGTCGCCCAAGAAATTCGATCTTCGGCCTACGAACATGGTTCTAGAAGACGCCGAGGCTCTCTATATAGCAGTCCACGCTGATCCTGCAGGGAGTGAATCATCTGATCCACAGCGGCAGTCACCGTCGCAATATCACCTGCGGATCAGAGTGAATCCTTTTGATTCTTTGGTCAGTCATAATGGGACGGAAGAGTCCCACGAGCCTGGCGATGTGCAGTGCAAGAACTGCCAGCAATGGGTTCCTGGACGGACACTAGTTCTCCACGAGAACTTCTGTCTCCGCAATAACATATTATGCCCGCAATGCCAGAACGTCTTTCAAAAGCGATCTTTAGAGTGGCAAGGCCACTGGCACTGTCCACACGACTCTGGTTATGGCAATGATGCCCTAAGCAAAGAAAAACATGACGCTATCTTCCACCAAACACACAAATGCATCGACTGTGCTGGGGATTTCGAGGGACTTCCTAGTCTTGCGCAACATCGTACTACAGATTGTCCTGGGAAGTTGATTCTTTGTCAATTCTGCCATCTTCTCGTGCCACAGAAAGCCGATTCTGACCCTGATTTACACGACCCCGAGGTGATGCTCTCCGGCCTTACTCCACACGAACTGGTGGATGGAGGACGCACCACCGAGTGCCACCTGTGTAATAAGATTATCCGATTACGTGACATGAACACCCATCTTCGCCACCATGACTTGGAGCGCCTTTCTCGACCCGCACCGCGCATGTGCATGAACAAAAACTGCGGCAGGACATTGAATAAAGCCGGAAATGAGTCTGTTGAGCTGTGCAATTTCTGTTTCGGACCGCTGTATGTGGATACGCACGACCCAGAGGGCAAAGCACTGCGTCGTCGCATTGAACGCCGATATCTCTCCCAAATGATGACCGGATGTGGCAAGCCCTGGTGTCAAAATGAGTATTGCAAAACGGCAAAGCAGAAAGCGGCATCTGACTCTGGTCCTCCAGCCGCGATGAGTGTGGTGGAAATTATGAAGTTGACACGCCCACTTGTCGAAGCTCTCAACACCCAGCCGGATGTGCCTAACATGTCGCCTTTATACCTCT